GCAGAGGGAGCTCTTTAGGCGGTCGCAGGGGGAGCTGGCTGTTCTGTCTCTGCTCCCCCTCCCCAGCGCACTGCTTAATGAGACCGGGGCCGGAATATGACGTCATATTCGGGCCCCGGCCTCATTAAGCCGCGCGCTGGGGAGGGGGAGCAGAGTCAGAACAGCCAGCTCCCCCTGCGGCCGCCTAAAGAGCTCCCTTTGCGGCCGCAGGTGAGCCAGCTGCCTGCCCGGCCCCAGGTGCCGACGGCCCACCAGGAAATTTCCCGGTATCCCGGTGGGCCAGTCCGGCCCTGGTAGTGCACAACATCTGGAGTGCCGAAGGTTGCTTATCCCTGTTCTAGCAACTTGTTCTTTCCAGAAGTCTTTTAATGTAGGACACCTTTCTTTCCCTCATAGCCAATCTATTAAAGAAATTTCAATCTAAATATTAACATTAACTGTTTGATGAATTATACATTCCCTATGACAGAATAGCCAAATGCAAATGTGATTCAGAATAATACATTTAAATAAACATATTTATGTTAAACTTTTTGGAGCTATAAATTAATTTTATTCCATGTCTCCTGTTAACGATGTTTTAAAATATGCAACTCTCTTTATAAAGTTCCAGTTAACCTTTAGAACATCTTTCAGAAAATGTGGATGTTTGGAATGATATATAATCTGAAATGTAGTTTTAAACACTGACGATGGAAAATGATAACAGAAAGACAATCAAAAGAAAATAAATTATTTAAATGGACCTTGACAACCAAACTTAAAATATTCAACTGGACTTCTTTCATTTTGTTACGAGATTATTATTTTACTATAATGATGCTACCATTGTTACATATAGTTTACTGCTGTAATATTTTGTACTTACTGTTACATGTAGTTATTAATAATCTGGCTGATAGAATTTTGGTTAGCAAATATTTAATTGTTGATAACAAATGGCTGGCCTGCTCCATTCTTCCTCCCCCTTGCTTGCCATTCCCAGTTGTAAATTCCTTTAAAGTAAAGTAACTGTCTTATCTCTCTTCCTTAGACCCAAACCATCCATCCCTGCAAAATGAAGGCCATTTAATTTTACTCGGATCTACCCACCCACCCTGGTTCCTTCTAACTATATAGCATGCACCTCCAGCTGTTTGGAACCACACCAATCACCTCTCTATTACCTTCACATGCTATCAGCTGCTGCAGTTATACCATTAACTCTATCTGCCATCAGATAAAAATTCCTCTGCTACCTCTTGTCTCATACCCCTATTTCAACCTTTAGATTGTAAGCTCACGGGCAGGGTCCTCTACCTGTATCTGTTCTTATTGTGTTTGTCTTTTTCCCAATTGTACAGCGCTGCGGAATTTGTTGGTGCTTTATAAATGCCAGTAATAATAATAATAATAATAAAATTGTGGTATGTTTGAATAGGTAAAATGATGGTGTTGGAATTGCAGACCGTTGGAAAACTAATTCTAAAATTATCTGACCTGAAAAATTAGCTTAATCTAGAAATGTTTTCAGTTTAGTTGACTTTAAAAAGCTATGTCAATATTTTATACTTTTCAGTTAAAAAATGATTTCTGGTGTCATGCAGGTAACATAAATAATTATACCAGTTAAATACTTAGAGGTTTGAGCACTAAACAAGAAATTGTTGTGAATTGAAAAATGAATTGCAATATTTTGGCAAAAGAGCAAGTCCCCCTCCCCACCCCTCAAATTCTGTTGCAATAAATAAATCTGTTGGCATTGTAAGGTTATATTTGTACTACATGTTTATGGTATTTGTAGCGGAGCTCCTTTTAAACTGTGAATTGCCCCAGTTACCCTGCAATGTGTGTTACTGTACTGACATCCCTTTCATGTGTTTCCCCTAGTTTGACCCTGTGTTTCGTTCGTTGTGTTTTGTAGAACTGTAGAACTGCCTGCTCCCCGTTTGGGAGTACCACCATGAACGGGACTCCATTAACCTCCCAAACGGGGACCACCATGAAATCTTAATTATAATGTGGTTTTAGAACATTCACAGCTCGTAATGAGGTGTCAAAACCACAAACCGCCAGGAAAGAAAGGCGCGTGCCGACCCTGGGTGGCGACCCATTCATTAGATGAGTCCCATCCAGGGGGAGCATTCACGGACTTCTTCCCACCTCCTTCAATTCCCGAACGAGGAACTCCCCGGCACCCATTAGAATGTTCACACTAATCAAATGGAACGTTGGCAACTCACAACATTGTGTGAAACCGCAAGGGAAGTAATTAATGAGTGCTGCTCTGGGTGGTGGCCGTTCGAACAGCGGCCAGGGGGAGCATTCACATCCCGAAAGAGACGCTTCCCTTGCCGGGCTTCACACAGGGACCCCGTGAACGAAGACTGGTGGGGACATCCTGTGGGGATAATGGTGGAGGTTAGCGGGCTCTCTGTCGCTGGGGGGTAAAGAGGCGGGAAGTTTTCCATGCTACCACCACCCAGAGACCTATGGGAAGAAGACCCCTAGGAGAGGGAGGGCCTTGGAAGGGGACACTAAGTGGCGGGAACAAGGGACAGAGGGAATGGAGTTCCGCTTCCATCAGGGGACCCCTGGGAGTGAGAAGGCCCTGGGAGGGGACACTGAGTGGTGGGAACAGGGGAAAAGGGACTGGGGTTCCGGTTACGTTATACAATCCCCGGGTAGGGTAGGACCCTGGGAGGGGACATTGTCTTCATGTGTGTTCCACCCCTTGCATGGGGAAAGTATAAAGCTGCATGTGGCCAATAAAGTTGTTGTTGTACCCCTGGAACTGTCGTCCAGTTACTGGGAGGGAAATGGGTCTGTTCATTTACTAATAGCGGAGGTAACCAACTGGGTTTCCCAGGGCCTGCAACAGTATTGAATATTGCATTACGTCTTATTGGATTAAGGGTAAAGTACGCAGGTTTCAATGGGCAGGGGGATAAGTTGTATTCCAAAGGTAAAGTGTAGCACCCCCTATCTTTAAACTTCATCAGCTGTCACAGCATGGAATTTATAGCCAGCAGAGACTCTACCAATCAGTGTCCTTTCATTCCAATCTACGGGCTTTTTTTTCTTACACCGTACATGCCTGCCCAGTTTATGGGATATGTAGTTTATCCCTGTAGCAGACTCCATTCCCTTGTGTTCGGTTGTCGCTACCCCCTTCTTTGTCTCCCGAAAGACTGGTGTGTGGTCCCTTGTTATGCACCAGTGAACACCGACCTCCCCTGGCTGTTAACCGCAAAATAACGACTTGACACCTTCACTTGAGTGCATTCCCTGGGTGGCCACCATTTGTATAACCGAACGCAAGTGGTCCAGTGAATGGCGCCCATTTTGTCTCCCGAATGCAGGCAGCAGTACCTGGTCGTCGAACGCCTGGAAATGTTTTCGGCCTCGTCTCTCCGCGAACTTGGTGGTACACTTGGTCAGGAAGTGTGATAGGCAAGTGTACACTTGATGGTACACTTGCCTATCCTACTTCCTGACCAACTAACGAACGGTTCTTGTATGCTTAATGCTTCACTGCTCAGGAGACTTTGTTGAAGGACATAGAATAATTGTAAGAGATGTTAGGGATTCTGGAAATCAAACATAGAAACATAGATTATGACAGCAGATCTCCCTAACTGTGTTAACCTCTACCACTTCAGCTGGAAGGCTATTCCATGTATCCACTACCCTCTCAGTAAAGTAATACTTCCTGATATTATTTTTAAACCTTTGTCCCTCTAATTTAGGACTATGTCCTTTTGTTGTATTAGTTTTTCTTCTTTTAGCATGAGCCTACCATATTGACTCTGCAAGACTCTGCAGGACTGTTTCCAAAGCAAAATGTTTGGGTTCTTTATACCCCACCGTAGTACCCTGTGGCTTTATTACACCATATACTCCACTCACCGGTTGGCATTAACACTTTATCTGCTAGAATAACTAGTAACATATGCTATTTTGGCAGACAGGAAAGTGACATCTGTTGAGCAATTTGCTGGCCATCTAAGGATGAAAAATATTTTTCCATGATGTTAATAACTACTGGCACAGTTGAAACATGTCTATAGGAAGCCAAATGTATTTGTAAGCCCTGAAAAAAGAGGTATTTGGGGGAGTTACTTTTACAGGCCTAAAAGATATCAGTTATTTGCAGACAAAACATTGCCAAATGAGCAGGTGTTAAGTTCAGCGATGAATTCAACGAAAGGAACTTTGACTGAACTTTTGGTGATTTTGTTTATTGAATGTTGGAACAGTTTGTTGTGCGATTGGTCGGCATCCTGGCCCAGCAAGACTGATGGACAATTCTACTGGGACACTGTTGTGTGTCTCTGCCTTTTCTCTGGTAATAATTTTATAGAATATTATAAAACTGACATCTACATTACACGTAGAGTGATTTTTTTTTTGATTTTTTTTTCAGGTTTTGCTTTTGTTTAGTTTTGTTTTGCACCGTTTAGAAAACGTTTTTTGTCATTTTTTTTTTGTTGTGCATGGGATAACAATAACAAAAAAAAATCTTGCAATGCCACGACAGCATATACAAGAGCACATATTAATATAATAAACACCATGCGTATACATACACCAGACAACGATGTGTTACTAGGCATTTTGATGGTACTGTACAATTTTTTGGTGTTAGGAAATAATGCTAGATGGACGTGATAGGACACTACCCCTATTAAGTAAACAGCAAACAGGTAAATTTGTCCAAGACACAAAGAGCGTGAGTCACATGACACCCCAAGGAGCCTCCTGGGCAATAACTTAGACTTCACACGACCAACAATGTTAACTACCTCTATTAAGTTAGATAAAGCCACACAAACTATATATGTGATACCATGTGTAGCGAATGCTTAAAGATGAATAAAGAATTGTGTTTTGTGAAGGCTTCAGAGGGAGAGTAATGCCAGTGGCAGTAGTTCCAGTCCTGGTTATCCTATGCCTCTCTGGGGCATGTTATAGATTGGGGTCAGCCCTGCAGTTGTCAGTAATGAAAGCACGTGCATGGGCTACAGTACCTTCAGAACGGCGTTTGGAGATGGATCCAGCTGTGTTCCCATCAGTGAATCAGGCACTTGAAGTAAAGTGGGATAGAGCCTCTTCACGAGCTGAGCGGTAGGTGATTTGTGCTCGGCTTCTCTGTGTTGCGCCTGCCTGAGCACCTCCTCCATGTTTGAGTGCACCTGTGTCTTGGTGCCATTTTCCTTCTTCAAAGGCACAGTAGGGGTTTGCCGGCAGTGTTGGGCTCGAGACCCATGCGGGACATCGCTTTGGTGGCACTTACTGGCACTGCTCTCCATATGCCTCAAGAATTCATCGAATAGGACGTTGAGCCTGGTCTCCGAGTCAAGGCATGCTTCTCTGAAGTTAGAGATGCACGCGGTCCCCTCCATGTTGGGTAATTTGGAGCAAGGTTCCTCTGCCTGCTTGACCTCACCAATCTTGTTGGGCCCCAGTAGTCCTTTGGGTGTGGACCGGGATCACCCCCGCTGGTCCAAGGGGTGGGGTGTAACGGGGACTTTGCAAGATAGTTGCCTCAGAGCACTTCAGAGCAAAGGAATCGGCCACCTCCCTCGCATGTTGCACACCAGGCCACGTTAGTCACAGTGAGGTAGGCAAGCTCTCGTAACTTGCTAGTCGCTGCTTGGCTTGTCAGGTAGGTGGCTGTATCGAGCCAGAGAGACAGATAAAAAAAACAGATTTTGTCAGGATAGTGGAGGAGCTCTTTCCAAATGACAGCCAGGCCCACTGCCATTTAGAAAACGTTAAATCTGTGATTCAATAATTACAATATTCATTGTAATTTATGCTGAACTTTGCAATACGAAAAATGTTATTTCCAAAAAATTAGAATTGTAAGATTAAATAATAAACAAAAAGAAATATGCTGGACACAAAAACTACATTTAAAGTCTATATCTTCAAGAAATTGGAGTAGCTGGCAAGAGGTCTATAGGTATAAAAGTCTGGCAAGTTGGGGAAGATGTCACGGAATATCCTTCACCATAACAGACGTGGCCATAAAGGCAAAACCGGGTCCCTTGTTGGCAACATCAATAAATGCTTCAGACCCAGCTGTTTTAATTTATTTTTATTATTCCATAAAATAATGCTGTTGAAAACAGGGGGAGTAGGTTGGGTACTACCAAAGTCTGACACATTCAATGCTATCAAGTAATTTGTCAAAGAGACAAGTAAGCAAACTCGGTCAGAAAGTTCATAAAAGACTGGAAAGTTGTAAGTTTTCAGCTGTGATCAGATTAGAACGATCCAGCTTGCTTGACCCGGTTAAGGTGTTCTGTTTTGTTTTCTTAAATTGGACAAACTGAACGGAAGATGAGCCAAGTAGTTCCTGTCTACACTCCCAATCTATGTATATATTGTTCTCTGAATGAATACAAATAGATATCTTTGTGGATGAAAAAAACAGGAGAGAATAAATAAAATAAGTAAGGTACAGTCAAAGGTGCGTGGAGGCATCATTAAACCAAACTCATGACTTTCCGAAGGCCTCTGTCATTTCACAATACTTCCTTTTTGTGTTCCTTCAGAGATTCGTGGATGAAGGGCAGTCTCACGCAACTGTCTGTTTAGGTGCTCATATACCTGTGAAGCTACACTAGAAGAGCTTTCTTTTTACATGATTAAAGTGTTTGTTAAAATGTCAAGATTTAACATGGTTAACTAATCCATGAACTAAGCTTTTCAATTAACTCAGACATTGGAACTGCTAATGATTCTTCAACAGGATCCTTTTTAGCTCAAACACCAGATGTGACACCAGTGAGAGCACTCAGTGGGCTAATGCATCATCAGTAGAATCTGTTCAACCCTTGGAGGGCGCAGTTTCAAGTGCCAACAGGCTTGACTCAGCCCTTCATCCTTCTGCGGTAAATACAACGAATACCATTAAATTGGGTAACATACCCTGGATGTTGGGCAAAAGTAATATACCCAGGATGTACTTGGAAACCATGGCAATCTGAATGCACCTTTCCTCGTTAAATACATTGTTATTATTAATATCAAAAGCCAACAATTACTTCTTATTAATACCTCCTTAATCTTCAGCTTCAGCCCAGCATCAAAAAATATTTATAGGGTTATTCAGTAAATTGTTGGCAATCCCACATTAATTTCAAAATTAAAGGAACACAAAGGGCACCATTACAACTTCACAAGTTGTTATGGTGTCTGGAAGTCCCTGGCATGTCCTTACCTTTAGTGGGTAATCCGTTCATGAGAAAGATCAAGCAGTTTTAAGAATTGTGGCACTACTGATTGCCTTAGAGCATCAGCTTACCACTCTAAGCCAATCAACGGTGCCCCTGCCCGGAGGCAGCCAAGACTTTCTGCCCGGAGGCAGCCAAGAAACGGTGCAGCCGAACAGACTTTGGTGTGAAACCGTCATTTTGATGAAGTTGTTATATTGTTCGGAGTGTTCCGGTAAATTAAAATAAAAAAACTGTGGTAAATTAAAATAAACTGTGGCTGACCTACCGACCTACCGACCTACCGACCTACCGACCTACCGACCAAGGTGTGTGTCCTGTAGCTATCAATGGGTTTTCCTATGGATAGTAATGTACGTGTCCTGCATCTCCACTACCATAAAAACTCAATATTCTATTCATATAATTTGATATTTACTCCAAAAAATGGTGACGAGTTTGCTACAAGTAATACAAGTCTAGACAAACATTTACTCAAACAGTTAACAGTTCTTTAACCACGAAAGAATCTAGTTTGAATAGACAGAAAAAAATTAGACATCAAAACAAGACTTTCCTTCTGGGGGGAACAAAAAAAACACACAATTCATTCTAAATCTATATGAGAAGAGAAGTAAGACAAAGTATATAAGATACCGTTCACCTCCCTGTGACCCAATTTCAGAAACATTTCATTAACAAGCATAAAATGTCAATTATTTCACCGTGAAGGAGACTGTCATACTTTAAAGGGAACCTTATAAGCAGTAACGGGCCAAACCATATTGATGCCGTTAAGGAAAGATAACACCACATCATAGGATTATGTCGTGGTGACTTACTGTTTGAAGTTTAACAGGTGATATATTTTAGATTGGCGGCATATTATAGCCATAGTGGGTTATGCAGTTGTAAAAGGGGCCTCTGGGAGCCTGAGACATCTGAATCTCTGCACTTCCTGTTACCCTATATAGATACAGTGCATCAGCATAGACCTCTCTCAATTCCTTCCCAGCATGCTCTGAGCACAGTGACATGCTAATTATTATGTATTTATAACAAGTTTTATCAGGAAGTGTGCATTCTTTTAAAATATGTCCTGGAGACCGAGTACAAATACATTGTAACAAATGTAATAGAATACATATACAGTACAATTCTAGGTATATTGTTAAAAATACAATAAAATTATAAATTAACAATGAGTGCAGTCGTGTTTAGAACGAAGGTAGGTGGATGCAGTGACTTTAGATTGGTGGCAGATTTCTTATTCTCTGACAGGTTATTCCATGTATAAGGTGCTTTCGAGGAGAAATCTTCCCAGTAAATCTCCATTTTGAGTTGGATGGGGTGGAAAGTAAAAAGCAGAATCTGGAACAAACTAGGTGGAGGCTGCAGGAGTGAGCATACTGTCAGGCAGGTTGGGAGTTCTCCAGAGAAGTGGTTATAAATCAGACAAGAAAGTATCATAAATTATTAAATAGATAGACAGTGCCTCAACATCCACGAACACACAGTATCACAGTAGTCGTAGTCTGGACCGACTAAGAAAATTAAAGAGATGTGTTAGTTTAGTGCTTAGGATGTATAGTTAACACTGTCACTGCTGAACAAAATTAGCATGTTATATTAGCCATAAGTATTAATTTTTGTAGAGTTTGAGTTCTAGGGCTCATTGATGTTCATGGACTGATCCTTGAGTTTGTCTATACCCCAATCCCTATTTCATTAGAAGAGCAAGATTTCAAATGTGTCAGTGTCAGTTATATTATTGTCGATTTTACCACTTTAAAGCTGCCCCTAATTTGTCAGGAACGGGAATTCACAATATGAGTCCCTGCCCACTCTCCAAAGGAATCTCTCCATAAAGCAAAGCGCGAGGTGGAGAATGGTCACACGAGCATCTCTAACTCGCCCATATTTCTGCAGAAGAACTTGCCCCACCGATGAAGCGCAATCCACCAATGAAACGCAAACCACCAATGAAACGCAATCCATCAGTGGAACAACCCATTCAGCCCCATCCCATATCTTTAACACTTTGATATCTCCAAATGTTGTGGTGAAGCTCTGCTATATACAGCAATACATTTAAGGTTCCTAGACCAGAACATTAAAAAAAGATTAGGGCCTATGCCTCCGTAATGGGAATACCTGGAATGCAGTTAACATATATATCCTCTCGTTAGAGCCGGGTCCTCAGCCACCTATTGTTCCTGCAACATGTAATTGTCTCATTTATTGTTAAATGTCACCCTTTATAATATTGTACAGCGCTGCAGAATATGTTGGCGCTATATGAATGCCAGTAATAATAATTCTTCCTGGAAGTAACACTGCAATTTAAACTACTTCGTATATAGAATTGTACTCTTAGCTTTTACTCAGTCTGTCTTAACACAGACAAGCAGGTTCTAGGATTTTATAGACTTTCCTATGCATGTGATAAATTTAAAGACTAAAGCCTATTGTTCGGCGATCAATTTCCATTAGAACAATTTATTGTTGTGTAGGAAAAAATAAATGCAGATACCTTTGATATATAATGGAGAATATAAACAATCTAATAAACAAGCTGGAGTTTAGTTAAGTATTTATTGATTCATAGCTTCTCCTTCACAAATCTTCACGACAGTTCAGAGTACGAATAAGGGCGAATTATCTGTTCTAGATAAGAATAGACAGTTATCATGATAGCCGCAGAGTATTCCTGCCTTTTCTCATCTTTTTAAGCAGTCCCGAATGGCTTTTAAAGTGAAATGGCCACTTGTCAAATTTTTGAACAACCCAATAACTAACTAAAAGTTAGCAACTGGCCGTACGTAAAAAAAAAAAAAGTTTTTGTCCCAGTGCCTATAGAATGACGCCGGCTTTCCATTTTTTTTTGTACTATTAATATGTCAAAACAATATAAATAAAGATATAAATAAAAAAAGTTTCTGTTTTTTTTTTTAATTTTTATATCTTGGACTCTCATGGTACAGCCAGATCATACGATACAAATGAATTTGAATGCCAGGGTGTTGCACCCGTGGGTAGTATTCATAAGTACAGCAATGTTGAAGAAGCGCAAGCACACTTGCATTGGTGCAACACTTTCCAAGCAAAAGCCTGAGGGTGCCCAGAACATCAGTTGCTGATGGCTTTGCTCACATCTGTAAGTGCTGTAAAAGTAGATGCAT